AAAAGCATTGTCAGTAAACGACAACAAAAATTGCAAAACAAAAGTCAATTAATGGGAAAAAAGATATAAATTATTTACTGTACTATAGTGAGTCAGTCTGGATTTGGAAAAAACTTCCGCCTTGAAAATGGACCTTGGTTGCAGCTGCGGTTTGTATATTCAAGACCTCAGGCACAGTTTTTTGCTTATCCAGACCTCCTGGTTGATAAATATCCATCATTATTTTATCATAGAGAAGAGATGTATACAGAATTTTCTTTCTTGCACTCATCCTCATTCTCATGTAAGCATATTTCTATTTTTTCATGGCCAACTCCKTCTTTTTTGCATCTTGAACACAGAAGAATAAATGGCAAAGCAGCAGAGATCACCATCATTCCACCAATAATGTAGAAAGAGGCTATATATGATCCAAGTTCATCAGCCATGAACCCTGAAATATAATGAAATGCTGTGCTGAACAATAATTCAAGCTTGTGCCAGCTGGTATTAGAGGTAGGTATGAAACAGTGGAATCGCCTCTCACCTCTATAACCTGGGTACCAGGACCCAGGTGAGGGGGACCGGGAAGGAGGGGAAGAGGGGATAATCTTTTCCTCTCCCCCCTCCCCATGAGCATGATACTCAGGGTTAATCTTTTCCTCTCCCCCCTCCCCATGAGCATGATACTCAGGGTTCGGGTTCAATCCCTTGACTTAAGATCACATGTGTGAGGAGTTTTGTTTGTTAGGTCACACTCCCTCATGAATCAAGTGTTTTTTTTGAGGGGGAGAGGGTTTTTAGGCTTTTAGTTAGGTCAAACTCCCTTGTGATTTAAGGGTTTTTCTTTGGATTCTCCTTTATTTCTCCCTAGCCTATTAAGTAACAATAAAAGAACTATCATTCGACTGTATTCTCCTTACCGACAAATGGTGGACCTCCAGCAATGGCTACAGAGAACACCATGTAGCCCATCCCAAGACCAATGGCACTTTTTTCTGGCTCAAGTATGCTTTGTAAAAACACGTTTTGCCCTGTAATGAATCCTCCACTGATGATCCCATATGCAACTGAAAATATCACAAAATGGCTGTATTCTTTGGCAAGCGCAAAGAGAATGATAGCAATTCCCATTGCAAGTGAACATAATTGGGCCACTTGCAGGGCCGTGAACCACTTCTTGTCAATAATTTGACCAATCACAATACGAGAAACAGTGGAGGTACTACCAATGTATATGAACAGAAAGGAAGCATCTTTACTGGAGATATTAAGGTCTTTGGCAAATCGCACCTGTTGAAAAAGAAAGCATCATTGCAAACTGTTCCTAAATAAATAAGAAGAAGCTTAACCAAATTTTGCTTAATTTAACTGATATTTTTTATCAGTTCAAATTCAGGCAATTTATGAGTTATTGTCAGAGGTTAGCAAACAACAAAAAAAAAAATGATCATAACTTACCAAATGAACAATAGGAACAAAAAATCCAAAAAAAGTCAGAGTTAATGCAACAAGTCCAATGGTATAAGAAGCATTTGCAAACACTGT